AATAGCTTGACTCCCTCTTCTTTATGGCAACCCCTGAGATATTGGAACACTGCTATCATGTCCCCCCTCGTCCTTCTCTTCATTAAACTAGACATACCCAATTCCAGCAGCCGTTCCTTATATGCTTTAGCCTCCATTCCCCTAATCATCTTTGTTGCTCTTCTCTGTACTCTTTCTAAAGTCTCAACATCTTTTTTACATCACGGTGACCAAAACTGGATGCAGTATTCCAAGTGTGGCCTTACCAAGGCATTGTATCTTAATACCAAGGCATTGTATCTTAATGCATCTTAATGCAGCCATAAAGAGGAATCCACTAGTTGTTATTTAATTCTAAAACCTTTTCTCAGTTCCTTCCTTCCACACTTTATTAGGTAGAAAAGTCCTTTATTGCCATAAGATATGCCAGAAGTAAAAGGCAGGAACTATATGAATCTTTCAGTGGTTGTTTCTCCTGCAATCATTTGGAACTAGTTAGAGAATTCACATTTCTTCAAGTGAAGCCCAGAGAGACTACTTACTAAGCTTAATAGCTACCTCCATTTTCCATGGATGGTTAGTCCAGACACATTTTCTTTGGCATTAAATTGTTTTTCTGCTTAGCCTTTGCCTCAGTCCCAATGTGTGGAAAGTTGTCATCCTGGATTTGTCAAACAGAAGCGAGAAGGAGAGCCAGCTTGCTGCTATGACTGTGTTCCTTGTCCAGAGGGGACCATCTCCACTCAGGAAGGTGGGTGACACCAAAGAAAAGAGCAGAATTGTGGGATTCCTCTAGAGCATTTTTATGGAAGTCAAGGTTAAAGGTCAAATGTTATTTGTTTATTTTCAAACTGCACAATTTCTTACCTAAAAGGAGGAATAGCCAAAAGACCTTGAAGGAGTGTATGGGCAGGTTTTACTACTACCCCCAAAAATATCTCTTCTGCTTTTTATTTTGGATCTCTCTTTCCACATGTATCTTTCTGTTAATATCTGAATTCTTTGAAATTTGAGGAATTACATCTACCCTCCAGAAGAATCTTTGAAAATTATTCTATATAGGCCTCCCCTTGATCACCACTAGAAGGAATTGCTGGTCCACAATGAGGTGATTTATATAGTTATGGGTGCACCTGCTTACATGAATGTTACTACTGATGAGAATAGGCATTCCAGACTATTTGCAGAACTAGTTTTTTGTTATTTTTTTTTAAAAAAGGTTTCTGTGGAGAGATTAAGAGATGCATCTTTGAAAATCCTCCTAGTATCAATTCCTTTCCAAAGAAGTTATTTCTTGAAAAATGAAAGGAGAGAATGTTAAACAAATTATTCTTTTGGGGTTTTTTGCAGATACAGAAAAATGCACCAAGTGTCCAGATGATAAATCTCCAAATAAGGATCGTATCCAATGTATTCCCAAAGCTATATCCTTCCTGTCTTATGAAGAAAATCTGGGCATCATCCTGATCTCTTTTGCCTTGCTCTTGTTCCTAACCACAATGTTGGTGTTAATCATATTCATTAAATACCGAGAAACTCCCATTGTCAAAGCCAACAACCAGAACCTCTCTTACATACTTCTGATCTCACTCCTGCTCTGCTTCTTGTCTTCTTTTCTCTTCATTGGTCAACCAACGAAAGCCACCTGCCTTCTCCGACAAACAGTTTTCAGCATCATCTTCTCAGTTGCCATTTCTTCTCTCTTGGCCAAAACAATCACAGTGGTGCTGGCTTTCTTGGCCACAAAACCAGGAAACCGAGCAAAGAGATGGTTGGGAAAGAGCTTGGCCAACTCCATCATCCTTTTTTGTTCTGCTGTCCAAATTGTCATCTGCTCCATCTGGCTGGGAGTGTCTCTCCCATTCCCTGACTCTGACTTCCACTCTCAGCCTGGAGTGATCATTCTGCAATGCAATGAAGGCTCTGTTATGTTCTATATCACCCTTAGCTACATGGGCTTCTTAGCTGCCATTTGCTTCATGGTGGCCTTCCTAGGCAGGAATCTCCCTGGGGCCTTCAATGAAGCCAAGCTGATCACCTTCAGTATGATGGTCTTCTGCAGTGTCTGGGTGACTTTTCTGCCCACCTATCTGAGCACCAAAGGGAAATACATGGTGGCTGTTCAGGTCTTCTCCATCTTGGCCTCCAGTGTTGGTCTTCTGGGTTGCATCTTTATCCCCAAGTGTTACATAATCATTCTGAGGCCAGACCTGAATAAAAAGGAGCAGCTTACAACCAGAAGAAATGTAGAATTGTAAAGACGGGAATGTCAACTCTCAACATGTTCAAACAGGACAAACCTAGAACATGGTCCATGGATGACTAGGCCAACTTTTTTTTGCTTCAAATCATTAAAGGTCTACTGGCAGATAGGATTGTGAGGAAAGTTAGTTCTTGCAGTAGTAGGAGAGTATTAAAAGCTGGAAATACAGAAGGATTTGGCAACTATGACATCCTTTTTTTCTGAATACATTTTACCAAAGCTGCTATGGCAATGCAACTAATATATTTCTTTTTATTTAGACAATAACTCTTTCTTGAGGATAGTAACAGTAGATTTTTGGGCAAGTAACTTGAGACCTGCTAATAATTAATATTCATGCTTAGATCATGTATTAAATATGCATATGTGCTATTATCATTTTGTCGTCCTTTCCCGAAATGTATCAATATGAGAGAATCCTTTTGTCTGCAGGATTTCCTCCTATTCTATTCTGGAGGGAAATTCCTCTAGTTTCCACTGAATAAAGAATAACTGCAGTGAGCCTTGATTATTGGGGGGGGGGGGTTGTGGTATTTGTTTCTATATAAACTTGTGTCATCAGTGAGATTTACAATCTTCATGCTGCTTCCAGGGACAACAGGTGGGGTGTCCTGTAGGGTGGGTGTTTTGAGATTGATCCCATGACCCTTCCCATTTCCAAATAATGGCATCATTTAGGAGGCTGTGTAAGGCAACAATATCTGTGTAAAACTCCATTTTTCTACTAAGGTTTGTGTATCATTTATGGTTTCATGCTCACATCCCATCTCAGTAATGACTGGAGATGTCCAGAAATCAAGGCAGAATTTGGCTTAGGAGGGGTGAGAGTGACCTTTCTATGTCAAGCAAAAATTGACCCCATGGCTCTGTTCAAACTGCCTTTTTTCTATTTCTTAATGCATGAATTTCCTAAGCAGATACTTTGCAGGGAGGGAATTGCAAAACAAAGCTTAGGCAGACTGTGATTAGTGAATGAATGTTTTTCAAATGAACAATAAGCCTGCTATGGGCCAAGATCGGGAGTTGGCCTACTGCTTTCACTCCTGCCTCCAGAGGCTGTGAAAGAAAGGCAGTGTGTGAAATTGAAAGGAATCATAAATAGCTGTTCCTCCTCCATTAGAAGAGAAACATCCTGAGACATGAATCCAACGACTACAATAATCAACACAGGGAAGGAAAGGGGAAGGCCAGCCATAAATACCTTCCAATTCCACATGTGGACAGAGATCATACAGATAAGTACATCTGAACAAGAAATGTTAGAATCTCTGGGAGGAAGGCAAATGGGAAATTTGTAAACTTGAGGAATCTTGAAGGAGAATCCACAAGAGGTTCCTGCTGGTTTATGAAACACTGGTGTAGACCAGGTGTGATTACATATATGAAGCAATTGAAACAGTAAAACTCAATGGTCATCCCGTGCACTGGGAAATTGACAAATATATGAGACAAATTGACAAATATATGAGAGGACTTTCACGGGAAGAGAAGTGGTCATATTGGAACCATATTGAAATTTTGACTTGAGATTGTTGGGTAGTCTGAATGCAAACTAAGATTTTGAAAAAAGCCTCTGTCCTTCACCCCTTAATCTGCATGCCTGATCCTACTTCCAAAGAGATGTGGGTGACCCGGTTAAAGTCTTTTGGCCTCTGGGTAGGATCCAGCAGAGAATGGAGGGGAAGCGAGAGACCTGCAATCATGCAGAATATGGTATCAGTGGAAAATGTGTACCCCTTGCCCCTCAGGAGGGACATGTTAGCCCATTTTGTGAAAAGGAGAATTTTTTCTAAGTTAGACCTGTGAGAAGCCTGTTACCGCATCAGGATTAAGGAGGGAGATGAATGGAAAACTGTTTTCAATTGTCCTTTAGGTTGCTTCCAGTTCAGGGTGCTCCCTTTTGGGATTCAGGGATCTCCTGCAGTGTTCATGCAATTGATAATTGAGGTCCTCCAGGAGCATCTATATAAGGGTGTTCTGGTGTATTTGGCTGATATCCTGATTTACACCAAAACCAAGGCGGAACACATGAAATTAGTCAGGGCAGTTTTGAAAAAGCTCTGTGCTGCTAAACTGTACACCAAGCTCTTGAAATGTGAATTCCATAAAGATAGAATTGACTATCTGGGCTACTGTATTTCTCATGAGGGGGTAGAGATGGACCCAGAGGAGTCTGACAACTTTTACAAGCAATTTATCCCTGCGTTAACTCAGGTCACACTCCCTACCATGAACTTATTGAAAACTAAGGGAGGGAGTAAACTGAAGCCTGGCCAGCCACTGAAATGGATGGCTGTGGAATTCTGGGAGGTGAAGTCCACATGCCTTAAAATTGTCAAGGTTGAGAAACACTGCTCTAAGGTAAGATCTGACCCACCCTCCTATCCTTCCACAAGAGCCAATCATCTGGCTGTGCTGGTTGGCCTGGGGACCCAATGGGGGATTTTCATGCTGAAGGTAGCTTCTGGATTGATGGCAGACTCCACATCCACCCCCTTGTTCTTTGCTCTCCAGCTCTCCATCTTTTTTGGTTATCATATTAATGTATTCTTGCTGTGTTCTTTTTCATTGTTTATTTTATGGTTCTGTTATCTTCTATTCTGTTTACACTCTTTTTATTCCTTCCTTTTCATCACTGTTAAGCTGTTTAGAGTAGTTCCACCATAGTGATATAAGTGGCAAATAAATAAACATAATGTTACTTATTAAATCATTTATTTTACTGTTTGATTATTCTTTTGGATTTTGATTAGTCTTACACTTTTCATATTTTTTCTTTAGTTTTAAATAATCTTAATTGTGAAAGAGATAAAAAAGGAAGAATGGAAACCCAATAATAAATGCAATAAATAATTAACAGTTAGGAGCTTAAGAAACCACAAATACACATCTAGGACGTTACCTTTATTTGAAGCCTATATAAGGAATGTGTTTAATGAAAAATTAATGGTCTAATACAAAAATATGGTGAAAATACAAGTTTGATTTGAAATCTTCCCCTCTGAACATGGAACACAATCATAACAACAGAACACTCTCCCTTCAGCCCTTTTCTTCCAGTAACCAGGGGAACAAGGGTCATTACACAGAGAAACAGGCAAAACCTAGAGATATAGACATAGATATGAAAGAATCTGGATTAGACAATGGAAATTATAAAAATTGGATTATATGAATGACCTTTGACTTTATTAATGTTTGGGAGGGGGGTGTAGAAATTCCTGAAATCATAGAGACAAGAACAACAAGCAAAAGAAATTGCAACTCTGAATAATAACAACTACTCTTAATATAAATAAGGGTCATCTGGTGAAATAAAATATGATGATCTCTTCTTTCTTTCTTTCTTTCTTTCTTTCTTTCTTTCTTTCTTTCTTTCTTTCTTTCTTTCTTTCTNATGATGGGAGACCTATACTAAAAATAATAAAACTTCATGAGGACATTTAAAAAAAAGAAAAGAAAGAAACCACTTTTCTGTCACTTTCCTACTTTTATGATTAGATGTTCTTTAGTGTTTAGATCTGGTCTCAGGATGATAATGTAACACTTGGGGAAGAAGATGCAGCCCAGTAAACCAGCACTGGAGGCCAAAATGGAGAAGACCTGCACAATTACCATGGACTTTCCTTTGGTACTCAGGTAAGTGGGCAGGAAGGTGACCCAGACACTGCAGAAGACCAGCATGCTGAAGGTGATCAGCTTGGCTTCATTGAAGGCCCCAGGCAGATTTCTGGCCAGGAAAGCTACAATGAAGCAAATGGCTGCTAGGAAACCCATGTAGCTGAGGACAATATAAAACATAGCAACAGATCCTTCATTGCATTGAAGGATGATCTCTCCAGGCTGGGAGTGCAGGTCAGAGTCAGGAAATGGGGGAGAAACTCCCAGCCAGATGGAGCAGATGAAAATTTGGACACCAGAACAAGAAAGGATGATGGAGTTGGGCAAACTCTTCCCCAACCATCTCTTCACTCTGTTCCCTGGTTTCGTGACCAGGAAGGCCAGCACCACCATGACTGATTTGGCCAACACAGAAGACACAGCTACTGAGAAGATAATGCTGAACACGGTTTGTCGGAGAAGACAGGTGACTTTGCTTGGTTGTCCAATGAAGAAAAAGGAAGACAAGAAGCAAAGCAGGAGGGAAACCAGGAGGATGAAGGAGAGGTCCCGGTTGTTGGCTTTGACAATGGGAGTTTCTAAGTATTGAAAGAATATAATTAAAACAAAGCCAGTGGTTAGGAACAAGAGTAGGGCAAAAGAGACCAGGATGATGCCAAGGTGTTCATCATAGGACAGGAAGGTTATTCTTTTGGGAATACAATGGGTTCGATTCTCATTTGGATATTGATCATCTGGGCACTTGGTGCATTTTTCAGTATCTGAAAAAACAGACAGTAATATTTATTTTATAGCCTTTCCTTTTACATTTTTGGGTTACAATTATGTTGAGAGACAAGAATGCCATAGGAAATGGTAAATATGTATGGACTTATTTCTCACCAGCCATGTTAAACCAAACCTTGGGAAGATTAAAACACAACCCCAGCCCCAATGTATATAATTTTAAAAAGAATAATAACAGCAAAAAGGGGAAAAAAATGAAATACCTGGCGCCACAACCAACTTTTATGATGCAACCCACCACATTCTTATTCTGTACCAACCTCACCTTATCCCAACATTTAGGATGAGAATCAGAAGTTAAGGAGGGTGGGGGTGCTATTGGATATCAAATGGGAGTGTGTTCCATAGGGCATGAGTTGCAACATAAAAGGAAGGCTTCCAAGGACCCACAAGGTGGCAATGTTTTAGAGAACATACCTGGAGTGTGGCTGTTATATCACTTTGGTTAAATAAGCAGAAATCATCAAGCAACAGAAGTCCCACCAATATCCTAGTCCTGTACTATATATGGCATTAAAGGTGAATTAATTGCATTTGGAAAGAAAATGGGGAGGCCTGTGCAGCTTGTATAATAGAAGTATAATATGGTAGAATGTAGCAGCAGCCAACAATGTTGTTGCATTCTGGACTATTTATATGTTTCAGGTGGTCTTCAAAAGGAACTTCATGTAGAGGACTTTGCAGTAATTCAAATCCCACTGGTCCAGGAAAGAGTACAGTTGGTACACAAGAGAAATGTGTGTGAAGCCCCCTCTAGCCATGGCTGCCACCTGCTCATTCAGCAATAACTGTGAGCTTAGGAAAACTCCAACTTGTGAGCTACCTCCATCTGGGAAAGTAACACTCCATCCAGAGTCAGGGATAATTTTTCATAGTCTTTTGGGGGCTAAAAAACAAAAAGCCACTTCATCTTGCTGGGTTAGGTTGAACTCAGATCCTCCCCTCTAGATCCACCTAACCTCCAGGTATTTTGCCAGGTCCACTTAAGGGATTGCTGCTCAGCCCTGGGTGGGTTACTGATAATACCACACCATGGTGCAGCAAATGCCCTCACCTTGCAGTTTCATGTAAATTTTAAGGAGAAAAGGAGAGAACCTCCAATAACACCAACTGAAACCTTCTGAGAAAGGAAAAATATTGCCTTCCACTACCACAAGTTGACCCAGAAGGATACCATGTTTGATAGTACCAATCTAGAAGGGCCAGGAAAGTTACACCACACCTATCCAGAAGTCATGTGCAACAGAAACCCGTTCTGTCTCACTACTATACCTCAACTATCTGCCTTGGTACTGTACCTGAATAACAATCATACTTTCAACAAACTTCCCTAAAAATGTTGAATACTGGATGAAGGTTGTCTAACACAGCTGAATCCACGAAGAGCCTCTTGAGAAAAGGACACACTACTGCCCTCTTCAGGATAGTTGGTGGTAACACCCATTCCTGGAAAAAGGCATTAATTGCCCACAAATTGAGATTAGCTCCAACCTTTAGGCCTTCTGGAAATCCCTTAAAATGTTGCTCTTTCAATAGACCTGGGGATCCCCCGGCAACAGGAACTCTATGAGCTGGTTGCATCATGTTTCATTACTTTAATCTTGTTTAGAAAATATTTTATTGTTGGTTTTATTGTATGCTGCACAGAGTAAGGTTGTATGAGATGGGCAGAAATGTAAATTTAGGAAATAAATGGATAAAATAATTTTATGTAAATGCAAAAGAAGCTTAATTCCTGAAATACTTCAAGAAGACAAATTCAGTCTTTAATTTGTTTTGGCAGTCTTTAAATGATTCTAAAAATGAGAAGATGAAACAAAATATTCCACTGTAGATTGGATAGCAAACTTAAAGACTGAATGAGCTCCACAGTGGTATAAATGGATATTATGTGCATTTTTTTTTTATTAATCCCCTTTCCCTCTCTTCTCTCTTAGGTCTGATTCCTTTTAATCCTGACACTGTATGTAAGGCTTTTATTCCTTTTGGAACCACTACTATATTCCTTTCTTGTGGGTATTGTAGTTGTTTGTATTTCACTATTTAATAACCAAGAAAATTGGAAAAAGAACTACAGCAATCCTACTAGGTAGCAATCCTACCAAGCAATCCATGATGGTAGTTATGCTGAATCTACAACTGTTGAATTAGTCTAAAAGTATATTTGTGTTTTACCTCTTAGTTTATATCTCTTCTCTCATACTAATTCTCTCTTGATGGATTTTATTGAGAGTAATCCAGTTGCTTTTCTCTTGTTCCTCGATCCCATTGGTTCTGATTTGGTCCTCCAAATCAGATTTTTATATTATCTTAGTAAAGATTGACTATTTGACTGATATAGAGCCGTTCACTGAAACCATTGCTGAAATATCAAAGAATTCAGCATTCTTAAGAAAGGCAAACATGGAAGTACAGTATTAAACTGAAAAGCAGAAGAGAGATTTCCTCTGACAGAAGTAACATTGCCCAATCTACCAGGTCCTTCTATCTCTTCCAAGCTCATCCTTCAAGATCCTTTCTTATTTCTCCCATTATGTAAGAAATTGTTCATGTTGAAAATAAAGAACCAGAACAAAATAGTCAAGCTTAGATTTGTCTTTCTAAATGCACAATGATCAAAATGCAATGAATGAATCCAGTACAAAAGGCAATGAATGAATCCTCTGGTGTCACCCACCTTCCTGAGTGGAGATAGTCCCCTTCAGACAAGGGACACAATCATAGCAGCAAACTGGCTCTCCTTCCCGAGCCCACTTGACAAATCCAGGATAACATTTTCCCACACATTTGGACTGAGGCAGAGACTAAGCAGAAAAAGAAGGAAGGCCAAATAATGTATTTTAGGACTCACCATACATGGAAAACTGGGGTAGACATGAACGTGAACTTTGCAGTTTCTGGACTTCACTTAGGAAGGTATAAAATCTCTAACTAGCTCCAAAGAATTGTCAGACATACACTTACTGGCAGATTGTCCATTAAGCTTTGGCTACTGCCATATCAAATTGTAATAAAGGACTTTTCTAAATATTAACGTCTGGAGGGATGGAATTGAGAAAAGATTTAAACATTAAGCAAAAACCAGTGGGTTCCTTCACATGGCTGTATCCTCCATTCTTCATATAGCCATGATTTTAAAATGTGATGATCTATTCATATTTAGGATCTCAGGGGCTGACACAAAGAAGAGGGAGTCAAGCTATTTTCCAAAGCGCCTGAAGGCAGGACAAGAAGCAACGGAGGGAAACTAATCAAGGAGAGAAGCAACCTAGAACTAAGGAGAAACTTCCTGACAGTTAGAACAATTAGCCAGTGGAACCAACTGCCTCCAGAAGCGGTGAATGCTCCAACACTGGAAGTTTTTAAGAAAAAACTGGACAACCATTTGTCCGAAATTGTATAGGGTTTCCTGCCTGAGCAGGGGGTTGGACTAGATTACCTCTAAGCTCCCTTCCAACTGTATTATTATTATTGTTATTATTGTTATTGTTATTATTAAGTTTATTAAATTTATTCTAAAAGATTTATTATTATTATTTCTATTAGGTTTAATAAAATCAAATGAAACTGTGAGGAAAAAAGTAACGTCTGACCAGCAGTATTTGAAAGTGTTTTTTGCGAACTACTCAAATAATTGCAAAGCCACTTGCCTTTGAAAGTAATCCAAAACAATCTCCTATTTAAGATACAAAGGAAGGATTCCTTAAAAATTAGGGCTGTCATCTTTAAAGGAGATGTTATTTGTTCATTGCTGCATTTCTTCAATTTAGATAGCTGCCATCTTAGTTAAATAAAACTAAAATTGATTACGTTACTTTCTCAAACTGTAGTGAGATGACAAGGCTAGTCTAGAAAAAAGGACTAGGGATGACATGATAGCAGTGTTCCAGTATTTGAGGGGCAGCCACAAAGAAGCCAACTTATTTTCCAATGCACCAGAAGGCAAAACGAGAAACAATGGATGGAAACTGATTAAGGAGAGAAGCAGTATCTCAGGGGCTGCCACAAAGAAGAGAGAGTCAAGCTATTCTCCAAGGCGCCTGAAGGCAGGACAAGAAGCAACGGGTGGAAACTAATCAAGGAGAAAAGCAACCTAGAACTAAGGAGAAACTTCCTGACAGAACAATTAACCAATGGAACAACCTGCCTCCAGAAGCGGTGAATGCTCCAACACTGGAAGTTTTTAAGAAGAGACTAGACAGCCACTTGTCTGGAATGATATAGGGTTTCCTGCTTGAGCAGGGGGTTGGACTAGAAGACCTCACAAGATCCCTTCCAGCTCTATTCTGATTGAGATAGACTTGAGATAATGAGAAAGTGTCCCTAAAAGAGGATCAGATATCTTTTGCTGCAGTGTGTTGGACATCCATATGAACCCTGTGTCAGAAAGGGATGTTTCTAAGAACCGGCTATGTATTGAGGCAAGATGCTTATTGTTTAAGAACTAGAATTAAGTGACACCAACTGGCATCAAAAGGTAGATCCACATTTATTATTAGTTAAATTTGGGGCTCCTTTTTGCCTAGAGACTCTTAATGTAGTTAACAATCATGACAAACAATTGTTTTCAAGGAGTTTTTAGATAAATTGCTCTCTTCTAAGCCAAAGACCAAATCTAATTAGCATTTCCTTTGAGACTGATCCTCATTACACATTATTTATCAAAAAGGCCTTTTCTTCAGATCAAAGTCAAGTTTGACACTGGAAGACCAGTTGGCGGCTGTGGCCAGGGGGGCGTTTTACCGGGTGCGCCTGGTGCACCAGTTGCGGCCTTTTCTGGACCG